TTCTCTTCATTTTTTTGACAGTGTTGTTAATACTTAGAACTCACAAATCAATCTATTTATATTTTAACATCTCTATGTCGTTCCATATTATTTTCAATTTCTCTAGTGCTGTTGTAGATTGTGCAATTCGAGCCAGAAGTTCAGGTTTCGTTCCCTTATCTGAGACTATAGCTCCGAGTTATTTGAAACTACTGATACTTGTTAGCTTTTCACCTCCAATGCTGCTGCACCTTTTAACGCCTTTCTCGTCGTATTTGTTGTTTTTTTCTAGGCATTTATTTTGTTTACAAAAAGTGTAACTAATGAGACTGACGTAATGAAGCAGGGTGTAATTAACATTTTAAAAAAAGTCTATTAATGCATTTATGATAATGATGTGCATTCTAAGGAAAGAATTGTTTTTAAATTTCAGTAAAATTAAGTCTTTAAAAAAAAACATCAGAATGAAGTTATGCACAATGTCTTAGACAATTTATTGTGTCATGACTGAATTGCTGTGGAAATAAAACAAAAAACAAAAAACTTAACAACTTAACAATACATATATTTTAAGACATTAAAATGTACATATTTTAAGTTTCATAGAAAATAATTTCACAAACTCATTTTATTTTTGTCAACGGAAAGTCTGAAAAGGTATTAAGAATGAATTCTTGAAAAAAATTATTTTCGTCCTAATCTGGTAATAATATTTGCATACATTTTCTAATAAAATTCACAATATGAGTATAAAAGTTTACTTACTGACGAAACATTTCAGAATACTTTGGTCAACTTTTAGATTCGCATTTAAACAAAATGAATGACAGTTGATTAAACATTAAAATTGTACAAAAATTCGTCTAATTGCAAATTTCAAAAATAACTATCACGAAAAAGACTCTCCTATTCAATTTGTTTATGTAAATGTTTTTACATTAGCCAAGACAACTTTCACAGTCAACTTTTTCTTTTTAATGATACCGTATCAATGGAAAATACATCGTTTCTCTTATTTGTCCTAAAGGATAAGAACTCTAGATATAAAGTTGTTGTTATTTATTCAATGTAAACACCATGAAAATGAAATTAAAAAACGCTTGGCAGTTGAAACAAGTGTCCTAAGTCTGGGAATTTATTTTCTGGATTTAAATCGAGCAGAAGTAAGATTTTCAAATGTACAAAGAAGTTACATGCAATATTTGAATATCAACAAATATTGAAATAGGGATATAATGCATTAGTAAGAAACAAGAATTACTGTATTATCAGTTACAACAGACATTTCCCGAAATGGGACCTCTTGTCCTTTCTAGGAAAACCTGGTCAGAGTGACGTCATTTGGAAACGAGAGATAATGGTTAAAGACATTGTCTATGTGAGACTGGACTAACGGATTCACGTAATCCTAGAAAATGTGTCTAAATGTTGAACACTAAATAAAACAATATTATGATATATTTATATATACTTAGCATATTTTTAAGCACGTTTTAGCACATTAAAAATGTCGTACTCATGTGTACAATATGGGAAAAGTGTCTGAAACTACAAACCAACCTGAACAAACCGGTTTGAATTGATTATAAATAGATGACTCACAATACAATACCTATCGATAAAATATATCATATATTATGATTACGACTCCGAGATTCGTATCTTCAACCTATTGCTAATCAGGTATCACTTCCGTCGAAATGTTAATTTAGAAAAAGTGCTATAAATAGACGCTCCAATAATGCAAATAAATTATGGCTTCTTGGATCATTATGGTGATTGTCCTTCGTTACTTTTAGCAAGTGACCCATCATGACCGACACGCCGTCACGCCCTTACATGCGACCATAGCAAAGCATTAACATTTCGGGCCTGTTAAAGCCCCACTTGGACTCATCTGGGCACTGGATGCATGTGATGGCGTATGGCGCCTCGGTGTAGTAGTTGAACCCACATTGAATGCACTTGTCATCCACTTTGCTGAAGTAGTAGCTTCGAGAGCAGCCTCTGCAGGCGGCCACCAAGTGCAAGGCCAGAATTGTCCCTTTTGAACTGGCCACATCCTTGCAGTATGCTGACCACATGCCGATATCAAAACCCATAAACATGGCTCTTGTTCCGTTCCAGTGTCCGACAAGTTTCTCACGTTGACGAAAAAGTATCAAAGTCTCGCGGAATTTCTCTAACGCCTGCGAGAACCCTTGAAAATCACCTGAATTTCTGTACGGAGTTACCAGAGAAAATTGCACATCAATTTGAAACTCTTTGCCGTCTTTGAAGACTCGGTTTTTGTCGCAGATGACTATAGGTGCAGACCAAGTCGACTCCTCCATTGGTGGGCCTCGGTTATTAAACTTTGGGAAATAAGTATTTATATACAGGTTAACAGCGTCTGCAAAGTTGTCAACACAGGCATCAATGGTGAACACCATGAGAAGGGGCAGGTGAACGGACTTGGCCAGCCTTATGGGCACACATTCCGGCACAATCACTTCGGACAGTTCATAGTTCTGTTTATTCGGGTCGCAATAGAGGATACCGTTATCCCCTGGCGAGTTCAGCGGCATGTCCATCTCAGATTCTGGGCACACGAGAGTCAACACGAAAGAGCCCGAAGGTTGCAAACGACCAAACATTGGGAATGCAGGCATGACTATGCAATCCACGCCAATAGTCGTTGATTTAGCCCAACAGATAATAGGCAGCAATAAGATCAAATACAAAATAGATAACATACTTGATGATAAACGAAAATGAAATCCTCAAAAAAAAAAAGCGTGTTCACAAATCTCCATCAATGTTTAGTTAAAACAAACAAAACTCTATGTGTTCATTAGCTGTGCGAGTTGGTTTCTTCCGGTTGAACAGGCCTTGATGTTAAATTGTAATTGTTTAATTTTCCGTGATCACAAGTATGCTGGACTCCCTTCAGAGTGGAGATGGAGTGTACTAAGATGGTCAGATATGAGTTAGTAGAAGTCTTGGCTAGGGTTTTATTGGAGACTCCTCCCTTCTTTTTAATAATGAAAATGAACATTATTAATGCTTGGGTAAAGAAAAATTAGAGCATTTTAAAGTTGAAATTGATTTCCATTCTTTTATATTCAGCGTCTGCATGCATAGTTTTTTCTTTTTTTTTCCACAACATCTAGTTTAAAAAGTGGATGCTTTAAGGGAGGATTCCCTGATAGCCTACACAGGGAGGAGGGGGACCTGATAGTCGTAAATTGGCAGTATTTAAACCATATTGTGAATTTCATTTTTTCCCTATTGAAGTTAAAAAATTTTTTTATTAATTAAACGTAGACCTATTTCAATCAGACACTAAGCATTGAAAGCATTGATGTAGTGTAACACTTACAATATATAATATACTTCTTATTAGTCATATTGTATCTTCTTTTATCTTATACTTATACCCAGACGTAACTTAAAAACAACAAGATAAATACGTCCTACAGGTATCCCTAGTTCGTTCTAGTCTTACATATTAATCAATCACTTAAACTCTGCCAAGTTATTGGTTTTCCTGGCTGACTCAGACAACCCGTTCCATGCTCTAAGAGCACTAGAGGAGAAGGAGTATTTTGTAAAAATTGTCCTAGCATAGAAGTAGTTATCACCTACAACAGAGGGTCTAGAGTTCAACATTTTATGGCTTATACTATAAAACTATTCTTCGTGAAATAAGAAAATATTTGTTTCTAATATAAAGTCAGGGCTGTAGATGCAGTCACAACCACTTCATTCTTGACATTCCTAGAATTTAGTGTGTGTGAGAGAGTGTGTGTGTGTGTGAGTTTAATATTTACTGCTGAATACAATATCTTTTCATATTTCATTATATCTCTTCATATCTCCTCTATTCACATCTCACACTGTATTTGGAACCTCACCGCTTGGACTGTTTCCTATATTTCATACTGGTGGAATTAATGTGTACTGACTTCATGGGGCATCCCACAAGTAGGCTGTTCTAGAACTCGGTAGATGAGTACAGTTAAATGGAAGACTTCATTTGTCCTCTCTGCTACTTAAAGGTTTATGAATTCCCTCATTCAAACGTGTCCAAAAATAGACTTATAAATAGAGACAAAAATAGATGTATAAATAGAGACAAAATAGATGTATAAATAGAGACAAAAATAGACGTATAAATAGAGACAAAAATAGATGTATAAATAGAGACAAAATAGATGTATAAATAGAGACAAAAATAGACGTATAAATAGAGACAAAAATAAATCTATAAATAGAGACAAAAATAGATGTATAAATAGAGACAAAATAGATGTATAAATAGAGACAAAAATATACATATAAATATAGACAAAAATAGACTTGTGTGAGCTTGACACCCTGGAGTAGCTCTTAATACTGTTGATCAACTCCACTGTTGACTCTTATTTGTTCGGGGGCGCGGTGGCTGAAGGGTTAAGAGCTTGGCTTCCAAACCTGCAGGTCCTGGGTTCAAATCTCGGTGAAGTCTGGAATTTTTAATTTAGGGATTTTTAGGGCGCCCCTGAGTCCACCCAACTCTAATGAAAATTAAAGGCGGTTGGTCGTTGTGCTAGCCACATAACACCCTGCTCGTTAACCGTTGACCAATGAAACAGATTACCTTAACACCATCTGCCCTATAGGTCTAAAAAGGAATCTTTAATTTTACTTCTTTGTTCAGACTCTGGAACGGTTATGCCGCTAATTTATATTCTCAAATTTAAAGGAGCTTTTTTAAGGAAATTGGAGGAAAGCTTTAATAAGTGAATGCAAACCGAGTGTTGTTTGTTTTAGAAAACCTACTGGACTGTGAAAGTTATTCTATGCTATTCACATTCCAAGAACCTGGAAGACGAGTTGAGAATTAACTGGAAGAGAGAACATAGATGTATACTTGATGTATTTCTGATTTGGCTCTGAGCCTATTCATTCTTCACTTCTCAAAGCCGATGTCCATGTCGCATTTAAAACTTTCGTGTGACACTATTATAGCCTCACAAAAACAAAACCTCAAAAACAAAATTGTTTTCAATTGTTCATCAATAATTTATTACGAGAATCAATAACTAATTCCGCTAATGTCATCACATAAATATGAAATGTGTCAATCAACAAATTATATAATAAAAAATAAGGCATCTTAGCAACAGCTGCTGATAAAGGCGGGAAGTATTGCTTAGACTAACTCGTCTGCTCATAAAGGCGGGAAAATATTGCTTAGATTATCACGTATTGTTAATACACTGTCTTGTTAGCTCCACCCAAATCCACTACACTGTCTTGTTAGCTCCACCCCCAAGCCCCGACCCACTCCACTGTCTTGCTAGCTCCACCCCCAAGCCCCGACCCACTCCACTGTCGTGTTAGCTCCACCCCCAACCCACTACACTGTCTTTAAGCCAGTCACTATTTGCTTGGAGCTAAAAAAATAATAATACTCAAGTAGCTATAAATTAATATTCACGATGCACTAGGATTTCAAACGTCCATTGCGCTTAAGTCTTAATATACTAAAGCCTTCATATACTTAAGTCTTAATGAACTAAAGCCTTCATATACTTAAGTCTTTATATACTAAAGCCTTCATATACTTAAGTCTTTTTATACTAAAGCCTTCATATTCTGAAGTCTTTATATACTAAAGCCTTCATATACTTAAGTCTTTTTATACTAAAGCCTTCATATTCTGAAGACTTTATATACTAAAGCCTTCATATACTTAAGTCTTTATATACTAAAGCCTTCATATACTGAAGCCTTCATATATGGTATCACTCTAAAAAAGTAATTGTTCTAACTCCATGCCATGTTACCAGAATAGTGAAAGATTTCATGGACATAAAAGTAGTATCTAGACCAAAGTGAATTGAAATACCAAAACCAACAACAAATAGTATCAAACTATACACAGATCTAGCAGTCAGGACATGCACAATGTCATTGTTTTTTAACTGACAGGTGAATAAAAAGATTGTCTTACTCCCGCACTTGATAGGTTGTATTGCTTGGAATGTGTACATGAGATCAATTACTGAAGCCAAATAGTTGTGAGACATACATAGCCTTAAAGGTCATTGCCTCACCATCGACACACAATCGTTTTAACAATGGCAGATTGAAATGTAAGAAAACTTTTTTTTATCCATAGCATATACCCAAAATAACCCAGTAGTTCTCATAAAGACCACACAACACCAACTCCCACGTTACAAAATTAGTTCTAGAAAAGCGCAGAAAAAAAATGTGCATTGTACAATGTAAGACTTACTTCACGTGCTCTTCTCTTTTGTTAGAAAAAAGTCTACATAGAAAACAAATCCTAAATAATTTAAATAAAAATAATTCTATAACATGCGAAAGGTTGATAATGTAATACAAGTGAGCACAATGTACAATTCTTTTAACATTCAAAATATTGGCAAGAGACAGTGGGTACAATCGAACATTTTAATGATACTCTAATCAATCGCAGTAACTAGCTTTCTAGATTCTTTTTATTTCAACAATGTAACAAGCAACAAGCTTAGTACACATTTGCGTCAATCATTCAAGTTCAATACTGTGTCTTTTTTTCAGAAACACACTCAATAAAAACTAGTTCAATCATTCGGACATTCCTGCACACGTCTGCTTCCACCATTCAGCATACATTTCCTTCCTTTCATTTAAACAACACAACATCACATGATCAACAAGATCTGCTACAAATCATTCTGGGAATGTTATGTCTGTTCTCCTTAGCTGGAGCTCCCATTTCTGCCACTTTGACTCTGAGCAACTGGTCAAGGTGATGTTATCGTCGTTGACCCCAGAGGTTAAGCACTGACCAGTTGGGATGTGCTCTAGGGTCTTATCCTGGACAGAGACATGTAAAAAACATTATGTTTGGAAGTTCACTGTAAATAATGCCACAAATTTGACCACTGCATATGTCTTGAATGTCTTTTAATGTAGCCCCTATTAAAGAGAGGCAGGCCCAAGGATTGAAGTTAAGGTCATTGAGTGCAATGGATGATTCCTACACAGGATACTGTTGTAACAGAAAATGGTAGGGCGAAAATTCAAACGAATTTGTCTAAATCATACTAACTTAATCTTAAACGATTCACAGTAATGTGATTCACAAAACCCTGAACTTCTAGTCTAGAAAGAATATTTATTTTGAATTGAATCAGTCACAAAAAACTAAGGACCTTTTAGATTAGAGTAGCACCCCAACAATCACTGTAATCTACTTGGTTTATTTATTTTTGTATCTGAATCAGTTCCAATTCTGAGCGTGAAATCTTTAGCTCTCTATTTTATATGGCTCATTTTTGTCTTGGAAGGCAATGGATGCGCCCAGATGACTTTTGGTTTCGTCTTGAGACTATTTTTAGTTTTCTTATTAGTGAACAAATTGAATCTCAACACCCTGCTGAGCTGGTGTTAAACTCTGCTCTAAGATTGACAAGACTATATCACTATCTCAACACCCTGCTGAGCTGGTGTTAAACTCTGCTCTAAGATTGACAAGACTATATCACTATCTCAACACCCTGCTGAGCTGGTGTTAAACTCTGCTCTAAGATTGACAAGACTATATCACTATCTCAACACCCTGCTGAGCTGGTGTTAAACTCTGCTCTAAGATTGACAAGACTATATCACTATCTCAACACCCTGCTGAGCTGGTGTTAAACTCTGCTCTAAGATTGACAAGACTATATCACTATCTCAACACCCTGCTGAGCTGGTGTTAAACTCTGCTCTAAGATTGACAAGACTATATCACTATCTCAACACCCTGCTGAACTGGTGTTAAACTCTGCTCTAAGATTGACAAGACTATATCACTATCTCAACACCCTGCTGAACTGGTGTTAAACTCTGCTCTAAGATTGACAAGACTATATCACTATCTCAACACCCTGCTGAGCTGGTGTTAAACTCTGCTCTAAGATTGACAAGACTATCTCACTATCTCAACACCCTGCTGAGCTGGTGTTAAACTCTGCTCTAAGATTGACAAGACTATATCACTATCTCAACACCCTGCTGAGCTGGTGTTAAACTCTGCTCTAAGATTGACAAGACTATATCACTATCTCAACACCCTGCTGAACTGGTGTTAAACTCTGCTCTAAGATTGACAAGACTATATCACTATCTCAACACCCTGCTGAACTGGTGTTAAACTCTGCTCTAAGATTGACAAGACTATATCACTATCTCAACACCCTGCTGAACTGGTGTTAAACTCTGCTCTAAGATTGACAAGACTATATCACTATCTCAACACCCTGCTGAGCTGGTGTTAAACTCTGCTCTAAGATTGACAAGACTATATCACTATCTCAACACCCTGCTGAGCTGGTGTTAAACTCTGCTCTAAGATTGACAAGACTATATCACTATCTCAACACCCTGCTGAGCTGGTGTTAAACTCTGCTCTAAGATTGACAAGACTATATCACTATCTCAACACCCTGCTGAGCTGGTGTTAAACTCTGCTCTAAGATTGACAAGACTATATCACTATCTCAACACCCTGCTGAGCTGGTGTTAAACTCTGCTCTAAGATTGACAAGACTATATCACTATCTCAACACCCTGCTGAGCTGGTGTTAAACTCTGCTCTAAGATTGACAAGACTATATCACTATCTCAACACCCTGCTGAGCTGGTGTTAAACTCTGCTCTAAGATTGACAAGACTATATCACTATCTCAACACCCTGCTGAGCTGGTGTTAAACTCTGCTCTAAGATTGACAAGACTATATCACTATCTCAACACCCTGCTGAGCTGGTGTTAAACTCTGCTCTAAGATTGACAAGACTATATCACTATCTCAACACCCTGCTGAGCTGGTGTTAAACTCTGCTCTAAGATTGACAAGACTATATCACTATCTCAACACCCTGCTGAGCTGGTGTTAAACTCTGCTCTAAGATTGACAAGACTATATCACTATCTCAACACCCTGCTGAGCTGGTGTTAAACTCTGCTCTAAGATTGACAAGACTATATCACTATCTCAACACCCTGCTGAGCTGGTGTTAAACTCTGCTCTAAGATTGACAAGACTATATCACTATCTCAACACCCTGCTGAGCTGGTGTTAAACTCTGCTCTAAGATTGACAAGACTATATCACTATCTCAACACCCTGCTGAGCTGGTGTTAAACTCTGCTCTAAGATTGACAAGACTATATCACTATCTCAACACCCTGCTGAGCTGGTGTTAAACTCTGCTCTAAGATTGACAAGACTATATCACTATCTCAACACCCTGCTGAGCTGGTGTTAAACTCTGCTCTAAGATTGACAAGACTATATCACTATCTCAACACCCTGCTGAGCTGGTGTTAAACTCTGCTCTAAGATTGACAAGACTATATCACTATCTCAACACCCTGCTGAGCTGGTGTTAAACTCTGCTCTAAGATTGACAAGACTATATCACTATCTCAACACCCTGCTGAACTGGTGTTAAACTCTGCTCTAAGATTGACAAGACTATATCACTATCTCAACACCCTGCTGAGCTGGTGTTAAACTCTGCTCTAAGATTGACAAGACTATATCACTATCTCAACACCCTGCTGAGCTGGTGTTAAACTCTGCTCTAAGATTGACAAGACTATATCACTATCTCAACACCCTGCTGAGCTGGTGTTAAACTCTGCTCTAAGATTGACAAGACTATATCACTATCTCAACACCCTGCTGAGCTGGTGTTAAACTCTGCTCTAAGATTGACAAGACTATATCACTATCTCAACACCCTGCTGAGCTGGTGTTAAACTCTGCTCTAAGATTGACAAGACTATATCACTATCTCAACACCCTGCTGAGCTGGTGTTAAACTCTGCTCTAAGATTGACAAGACTATATCACTATCTCAACACCCTGCTGAGCTGGTGTTAAACTCTGCTCTAAGATTGACAAGACTATATCACTATCTCAACACCCTGCTGAGCTGGTGTTAAACTCTGCTCTAAGATTGACAAGACTATATCACTATCTCAACACCCTGCTGAGCTGGTGTTAAACTCTGCTCTAAGATTGACAAGACTATATCACTATCTCAACACCCTGCTGAGCTGGTGTTAAACTCTGCTCTAAGATTGACAAGACTATATCACTATCTCAACACCCTGCTGAGCTGGTGTTAAACTCTGCTCTAAGATTGACAAGACTATATCACTATCTCAACACCCTGCTGAGCTGGTGTTAAACTCTGCTCTAAGATTGACAAGACTATATCACTATCTCAACACCCTGCTGAGCTGGTGTTAAACTCTGCTCTAAGATTGACAAGACTATATCACTATCTCAACACCCTGCTGAGCTGGTGTTAAACTCTGCTCTAAGATTGACAAGACTATATCACTATC